CCATTTTTTATATGACTCCTTTTTTATTTTGAGATCATGCAAGATCTCCTTGTTAAGCCAAGCTGGTCTTTTGCCATATTTTCTATCTTTCCTACACAGCGGAATTGTTTGCTTTTGGGCCCTTAACAACGTCCCTTTGAAATACTTCCAACTCTCCTCAGTTGTTTTTCCCTTCAGTCTTGCTTCCCATGGGACCTTACCTACAAGTTCTCTGAGCTTATCAAAATCTGCCTTCCTGAAATCCATAACCTCAATTGTGCTGGTCTCCCTTCTACCTTTCCTTAAGATCATGAACTCTATTATTTCATGATCACTGTCCCCTATACTGTCTTCCACTTTCAAGTTCTCAACTAGTTCCTCCCTATTTGTTAAAACCAAATCCAGAACAGCTTCTCCTCTGGTAGCTTTTTCAACCTTCTGAAACAGAAAGTTGTCTCCAATGCAGTCCAGAAACTTATTGGATAGCCTGTGCCTCGCTGTGTTAGTTTCCCAACATATGTCTGGATAGTTGAAGTCCCCCATCACCACCAAATCTTGGGCTTTGGATAGTTTTGTTAATTGTTTAAAAAAGGCCTCATCCACCTCTTCCACCTGGCTAGGTGGCCTGTAGTAGACTCCTAGCATGATATCACCCTCGTTTTTTACCCCTTTTAGCTTAACCCAGAGACTCTCTACACAGCTATCTCCTACGTTCATCTCCACTTCAGTCCAAGTGTGTACATTTTTAATATACAAGGCAACCCCTCCTCCCTTTTTTCCCTGTCTGTCCTTCCTGACAGAATGTGCTCCTTTACCTTCCACTAACATTTAATCCAGGGGTGGGGAATCGAAGGCTTGCCTGAATCTGGCCCCCCCCCTCAGCATTGGGGAGTCTGTGCTGTTGGTGTTCCAGCCTCCCCCCCTCCCCGCCCAGTTGCCCCACTGCGAGGCTAGAGCACACAAAATCTACTAGCCTGGCCCTGGTGTGCAAGAGGAATGAGGGGACTGTCTTTCTCCTTCTCAGTCCGGAGCCACATCAGTGAGGTTTTGGGGTTTTGTTTGTTTGGGTTTTGTTTTTTTTTTTCTCTTCTCACTTGTGTGCAGCCCCTGACTGATTTTTCTGTGGGGCTATGTCTAGACGGCAAGCCTCTTTCGAAAAAGAACGTCTAGACTGCAAGCAGTACTTTCGAAAAAGCAAGCCGCCTTTTCGAAAGAAAGCAGCGAGTGAGTCTGGATGCTCTCTTTCTAAAAAGCCCTGTTGGCATTCAAGAACGCCTTTTTTCGAAAGAGCACTTTCGAAAAAAGGCGTTCTTCCTCGTGAAATGAGGTTTACCGCCGTCGAAAGAAAAGCCGCGTTCTTTCGATTTAATTTCGAAAGAACGCAGCTGCAGTCTAGACGCAGGTGATGTTTTTTCGAAAAAAGGCTACTTTTTTCGAAAAAAACCCCTAAGTCTGGACACAGCCTGGGTCAGCGGCCCCCCAACCCAAAAAAGACTCCCCACCCCTCATTTAATCTCTTACCTGCTTTTGCCCTATTTTCCTGCATCTACATTACAGGAATGTACCCTGCAGTCCCTGAAGAGGGTGAGCTCACAGCTGTCTCCCAGTGCACACACCGCGTGCTGGATCCTTGCTGATGACAGCAGGCCAGGCTATTGCATAAGCCTTTCCCCAGAGGTTGGAGACTGAGCTTCCATGCAGTTTGCCAGATGGTGCATTCCCAAGAAGACCTTAAAAACAGAGGCCCCATGGACTGTGCGCACCTAGCGTGACCAGATGTCCTGATTTTATAGGATCAGTCACGATATTCACAGCTTTTGTCTTATGTAGGTCTGTTACCCCTTCCCGATTTCTCACACTTGGGCTGTGTCTACACTGCACCCCTTTTCTGGAAAAGGGATGCAGATTAGACAAGTCAGAATTGCAAATGCAGCGGGGATTTACATTTTCCCTGCTCCATTTGCATGAACATGGCTGCCACTTTTTTCTGGCTTGGGGCTTTGCCGGAGAAAAGCGCCAGTCTAGATGGGATCTTTTGGAAAATAAAGCCTTTTCCGGAAGATCCCTTATTCCTCTTAAAATCAGGAATAAGGGATCTTCCGAAAAAGGCTTTATTTTCCGAAAGATCCCGTCTAGACTGGCGCTTTTCTCCGGCAAAGCCCCAAGCCGGAAAAAAGCGACAAAGCCCCGAGCCAGAAAAAAGCGGCAGCCATGTTCATGCAAATGCCGCGGGGGATATTTAAATCCCCTGCAGCATTTGCAATTCTGACTTGTCTCATTAGCATCCCTTTTCCGGAAAAGGGGTGCAGTGTAGACACAGCCTTGCTGACTAGTGACAGACTTCCCCAGGCCCGGCAGCGAAAGGAAGCGGGTGCGCTCTGGTGCGCAGCTCCGGCAAGAGCTGGCTGAGCTGTGGCAAAAGCCAGCAGGGAGCTATTTAAAGAGCTGGCAGGGACCCGGGTTGCAATATAGGACAGTACTTGTAAGAAATGTTACGTTACTTTCACCCTGGACAATGTGAGTGCAGGGAGGAGGGGGGCTCGGCTCCTGAGAAGGGCAGGACCTTGGGTGGCAGGGGCAGGACAAGGGGCTTCCCCCAGCCAGTCTCAGTGCCACCTGGACTGCACAACATTGGGCTCTGGTGGCAATTGAAAGGGCTCAGGGGCTCCGGCTGTTGCTACTGCCACGGCAAGTAGCACTGATGGCCTGGAGCCCTGGGTCCTTTTAAATCACCATGCCCTGGATCCACAGCTGCCTTTCTCCCTCACACTGGTCAGCAGCCCTGCTATCTGGTTACCCTGTGTGCACCAAAGCACCCCGGCAGGTTTTTAAGGCCTGGTCTGCTCTAGGACCTTAGTCCGAAATAACACACACACCTCCAAGATGGAATTTGGAAGCAGTGCGACCACACGCCCAAGCCCGTTAGTTGAACAGCTGTGGAATGCGAACTCTGTAGTCCTACTTTTCACGAGTAAGGCTATTTCCGAACTTGTAAGTCTGAAATAACGTTCGTGTGGACGCTCTGGTACCGCTAATTCAAACTAATTGGCCTCCAGGAGGTCTCCTGCAGCTCCCCAGAGTCCAAAGTAGTGCGTTCACATGAAGGGAGTCAGCCTCGGACTGCATTCGATTCTTCCCCATTGTGAGGACACGAAGTTCGAATTTGTAAAATCAGGTGCCCAGAAGTCAAACATAGTGAATTCGGAACAATCTCCTAGTGTAGACGTGGCCTGAGAGTAGTCAGGGTTCGCATATTCCTCACAGATCAGTTGTGAGCCTGGGCCCAACATTCCCTTTGTCTCATGCTGATATGCATAGCACCAACTGCTGTCCTTCAGTCCTGAGGTGGGTAGCACTGCACAGGTCTGCTTTGAAGTGCGTTCAGAGGCTGTAGGATGAAAGGTGCCATCTAGTTATTTGTTTTCAGTTATTAACAATAATAGGGTGTTACATACGGTGTGAAAAATTGAGAATGTATGTACAACATTTGAATTCTGGATGATTTTATGGAACTGCTTTGTCTCTGGATGCCTCCATATGCATGGGGATATCTGCTACTAGGCCTGCGAGCAGGTTTCGCCCAACCTTGGGACAATGGAGACTTACTAATGTGAATTGCTCCCATTCAAATGGGAACACCGCACGGCAATGGGGTGGCGGAAGTCTAGGGAAACCAGTTTGAACAACTGTGTCTACACAGAAGGGGTTGGAATTGCCCCCAGGAGTGGGAACAAAGATGTGATGAGGGAACAGCCCTTTACAAACGCAGAGGCTGGGCCACTCAGAGAGAGCTTATGTCAAGAGAAAGGAGCAACGGGGCACTTGCCTTCATAGCAGAGAGAGCCCTTTCAGACTCCACATCCAGCCATGGCCAAAGGAAGTTTAACAAACTCTGTGAGTTGAAGGAGAAGCTATGACTTGCAGGAAGAAGACCCTGAACACTTTAAAGACTCTGACCTAAGCCCGAAGGACTTTTGGGAGGGGGGAACACATGCAGGGTGTCCATTATTAGGCCTGGATTTATATTTTGTGCTGCCTGAAGGGGGTTAGGATCCCCTTTTGCAAAACCTGTGTGGACTGTCCTTCAACTGGAAAGTGTAAACCAGAGTGCTCACGAGGCTCACTTGAGCAACCGGGGCATCTTTGTGGAGTCAGCACTAGTTCTGAGGCCTAGGACAGCTGGATCATGAGGTTCCATTTCTGTGACAGGGAAAACAGAGAGCCTGTGCCATGGGACCATGCTAGAGTTGCCAAAAGAGACAGTTCTGGAGCTGCCTAGACTCAGGAGCCCCTAAACCTCACATGGTCACGGCCCAGTTTGGGGGGATCCATACACAGCAGCCTGGTGAGTTTCCAGCAGGAAGAGCTTTACCAGGGCTGTGAAAAAAATTACAGTTTCTGGCTTGCTCAGTCACTTTGGAGCTGGAGGAGAAGGCGGGGTGGGACCGTCTTTGCATCTTAATATTTTTGAGGGCAGGGCTCTAATTATTGATCCCAACTCCCCACTATTCTCACCTCCTGAAAAAAGGCAACTTAGGCAAGGATCTAATACTATTCCAATGCCCGTCCCTTCAGTGCAGTCCCTTCCTTGCCTTTGTCCCTTTTGCAACATGCCCAAATGTCCTTCCTCGCCCTTGCCCCCTCCCTTACCGGACACCCAAACCCTGTCCCTGGCAGCTTTATCCTTCCACTGGAACCCCAGGCTGGTTGTGGACTACAGGGCACCGTGGGAAATGCTGGGGTGAGATTTACACCCCCAATTTCAGGTAATTTCCCCTCCCAACCACCTCTTTGCGAACAGGATTCAAGGTAGCGGGAGTACGAACAGCTGCAACAAACAAAATGTTGCTCATGCAGCACTCCCCCCACCCCCTGTGCGTGCAAATGCATTTCAAGGTCCGTCTTTTTTTAGCATTTGCACGCACAGGAAAACGTCCCATGGTAGCGAAACCTTCCCACTGGTGACGAAGCCACCCTCCCCGCCCCTGCTGGCCGTATCGCCCAGAGATAAGCGTGACAGACATAAAAGCAGGCTCAACAGAGACGCTGCTCCTGATACAGCTACCCGCCACCATGATCGGTATCCTGTTTGTTACCCTGACGCTGACCGCTGGGGGTATGTATCCTGCCCAGGTGTAGAGTTTAATTTCTGCAGATTTCCAGCTTGATTGTGCGGTCCTGATGCTGCCCAGCAACCTGGAAGCACACAAATATCAGAATAATAGGCATGGTGCGAGGGCTGGACTAGAATCCGGCCTGCTGGATGGCTTACGAACATCAATAGCAACAGGGGTGCCAGATCGGCCCCTCAACATCACAGGAAAGCGGTTTGATCTGATGTTCCACACGGAACAGGTCAGTTTGGGGGAGACTTAACATGTTCTTAATTCTGGTGTTGACCTCATCTTGTGTCCCTTGCAGCCCTCGGTTGTGGGAATCCTGCCTACCCACCTCTCTTGACCAGAGTAGTTGGAGGAGAAGATGCAAGACCATTCAGCTGGCCCTGGCAGGTTTGTGATTTCCTGGTTCCCTTAGCCCACTCCTGGATGTCTTGAGCCACTCTGCCTTCCCGTTACACTGGGCCTTGCTTTGCTCAGCTGACACCCACGTTGATGTCACTTCCCTGTTTGTCTGCCAGGCGATCCCTTTTCAACACGGTAGCCGTTCTATTCCAAACGCCGCGGCCTCAGGGGTCAGAGCCCTACTGACTTCTAGTGAAACTCAAAAAAACGGGAAGGCAGAAAGAGGAAAGAGCCCCGGGACCCCCTGCATCTGGTTAGCAGGCACCGCAGCTTTGGCTGGTTCTAGAGTAATAGATACAGTCCAAAGAACTCAGCCCTGCTCATAATCCCAATGCAGCGGAAGATTTTGACTCTCTGAAAGACTTCTCTCCTGCATGGCGCGAGAAGCAATAATTGCTCAAATTAAACAAACAGGACAGTTTACATATGTCCCTGATGTAAGGGGGAGGGGAAGACAGCATGCAAGGAGGAGGGCAGGGGGAACAGAGACATGCAACTTAAGGACCCCTGGTGCATGCAGAGAGCTTGGTCTGCTGAGGCAAGCGGGAAGCCGCGTAGGTGTATTTTGCCTGTGGTCAGAATGGAACACACTACAGGGACAACCGGCCTTGTGCTGAAGGGGCAGGAAGCAGTGTAAGAACTGGGTTCTGTCCCTAGCTCTGCCACACACTCACTGTCTGGACTTAAGCAAGTCCTTTAGCATCCAATCCAGCTCCCACTGAAATCAGCAAAGGGGAAAATCCCTCTCCCTGGTGTCAGTGGCAACTGGCTCTCTTTGTGCTCAGGACCATGCGGCGACCACTTGATAAGCTTGTCAATAAATAGCAAAGAGCATGCTGGGAAGCGATACGGGCATGGTGTTTTGGGACACGATGCCTTAGTTTCTGATCCCTGTCCCCTGGGCACATGTCGGATTCATTTGCTAATGTTAGAGCTTCTCCTATAGAAGATGCTAAAGATGAGTTACCTGGTTACTGTTAACTTCTCAGCCTAGATAGCCGTGCTGCTTTGCCATGCTCTTTAAACAATGGATCTGGGTCCTAAGTGATCTTTGTCCACAGCTAATAGACCAACCAAGTGTCAAAGCATGCTGGGATCCTTCAGGATGAAAGCTCAGAGGAATAAGGGCTTGTCTTCACTTACCCGGAGATCCACACTGCGGAGATCGATCTCCCAGGGTTTGATTTAGCAGGCCTCGTAAGGACTCACTAAATCGACCGCTGATGGCACCCCCATCAACCCCAGTACTCCACTGGGGTGTGAGGAGTAAAAGAAGTTCATAGACTCACAGAATCCTAAGGCTGGAAGAGACCTCAGGAGGTCATTGAGTTTCTCCTATTGCTGTCCTGCAGTGGGGATGCCATGGAAATTCAACCTAAGGTACGTCGACTCCAGCTAGGCTATTCTCATAGCTGGAGTTGCGTAGCTTAGGTCGACTTTCTCCAGTAGTGTAGACCCAGCCTAAGAGAGCAGTGTCATATTTTGCTAGAGGCTTGTTCAGCAAATAACTGCTGTCTCAAAATAGGGAATATTTAACCCTCAGAATAGACTGAAAAAGCAGCACTTCTATAGCTCATCACCTGCTCAAAGGATAAGAAATGACACCTCTGTAAAGCTGATACCCCCACCCCCTTGGCTCATTTGGGCAATGGGAAGCACAGAGAAGCTAAACAACCTACCCACAATTAATCGAAAGCAGAGCAGAAATGACACCTCGGGGGTTTCTGGATCCTTAGATTCCCTCTCCATGATCAGGTCACTGGCCCACTAAAGCCAGTGAAACATTTTTTTAAAAATCACCTTCTGGGACCGATTTCTACACAGAATAACACAGGGGTTATTTCTTCTGTGGTCTCGGTTTGACCCATGCTTAGTAAATAGCTTTGGGAAAGCAACGCTGAAACAAAACGTTGGAACTAACCTTGCCCCAAGAGAAGGATCTGGACCTCGAGTACTTTGGTGCTCAGATGTCCACCTCACCCCACCAGGAGAGGCCAAGCAGTGAGTAGCATTCTCGCCGTATCATTCCAGGTCTCCCTGACATATAACTACAATGACGGCTGGTACCACACCTGCGGGGGAACCCTCATTGCACCTAACTGGGTCATGACGGCTGCTCACTGCATCAGGTACGTTGGCTGGACAATCGTTTCTTTTAAGTCCACGTGCTGGAAGCTGTAAATGCTCGGAGCTAAGGAGAAAGACAAAGCACATTACTAACAGGCTCTTCAGTCCCATACCTGCTGATTCACTGGAAGGGGGAAACGTCCTTCTTCCCCTGCTTGTGCAATGCCCTGAACTGTTGGCTTGATTTTTTGCAGGTATAACTCTAACGGGCATTTATTCAATTACCCAGACCTTTTAAAAATCAGCTGTGCTCTGTTTACAAGCACATGGAACAATGAGTTCCATGGGGTCTCTAGGGCTATGTCTAGACTGCAAGCCTCTTTCGAAAGAGAGCGTCTAGACTGCACGGAGAAATTTCGAAAAAGCGGCTTGCTTTTTCGAAAGAAAGCATCCAGTGAGTCTGGATGCTCTCTTTTGAAGAAGCCCTATTTACATTGAAGAACGCCTTCTTTCGAAAGAGGAACTTTCGAAAGAAGGCGTTCTTCCTCGTAAATTGAGGTTTACCGCCATCGAAAGAAAAGCCGCGTTCTTTCGAATTAATTTCGAAAGAACGCGGCTTGAGTCTTTGACGCAGGGGAAGTTTTTTCGGGAAAAGGCTACTTTTCCCGAAAAAACCCCTGAGTCTGGACACAGCCTAGGTCACCCGCTTCCAGGAAGAACTAGTCCCTTTGGTTTTAAATGCACCAGCCATCAACTTCAGTGAGAGAGCTTCTTGTTACTGATCAGGGGTGTAGCCGTGGGTGGGCCTGAGTGGGCTGTGGCCCACCCCTTTTGGATTCAGGCCCACCCCCCACCAGCTTGCTCAGCGCTCTGGTCTGGGAGTGGGCCCAGGGCTTATGTTGCTCTGCCCCAGGGCTCTGGCTGGGGAATGGGGCTGGGGTTTATTCCCCCATCTCTTCTGTCCCACTTCCGCCTCCCCATTCCTGCCCACCCAAGATCAGGGCCCATCTAAGTCGCCGATTATGGAATGGTGCAAAAATGAGGAGAGGGATCAGTTTTGGCTGCATCACCTTAAATGCCCCAATCAAAGCCAATTCTCCTAACCAGCAGCTCAGTACAGGCCTGTTTCCTATACACCCATGCACTGGAGCATGTCACTGCCACCTCCCGTCACAGAAAGCATGGCCAGATACGATCTCCCACGGGCTGGCTGTGTGTGAGGTACAAGCGCCAGCGTGCCCCGTACTATGACACAAACGTCCGCACCAGTGGAGATGCTTTTGTAACAGACCTCGTCGCACTACGAGTGAGGCCTTCTGAATTGCTCAGGTGTGCCAGGAAACGGCAGCCTCGTCCTCTGAAGATCGGCTGGGGCCCCACATTTAGCAGGAATCTTGACGGGAGCCAGAGGACCATATGGAGGTGCAGCCTCTAGTGGTTCCAGCCTGCAATGCTCCCTCCGAAGCCAACAATCCTCCGTTAATTTACAACAATGCACGCTGGCACGTTTTCCCACTGGAGCTGAGTGTCTCTCCCTGTTCCTTTTCCTCCCCAGCTCTTCTCGGACCTATATGGTGTTTCTTGGCAAATTCAACCTAGTGGCTTATGAAGAAGGAGCGATTGGAATCAGTCCACAAAAAATCATTGTCCATGAAGGTTGGAACCCAAGCGACGTTGCAGGCGGGTGAGTGGATAGCAGCTACTTGAACCATGTGTGAGAGAGGGACCCAAACCAAACCCTCTGGGTCCAAACACCCTTGCACTGTGGGCAGCTCCGAATCTGGATCCCATTGTCACAGTATAGGCTAGAGGTCCCAAGTGGTGGCTGGAGAAACATTCTGGGGAGTTATGGCTAAGGCTGAGGTCAGCTGCTAGCCCCATGCCCAGGGCCCTACTCCCAGCCCCATAACAGGGTCCCTAGCAGTCAGCCTAGGCCCTCAGCTGAGGTACAGCTCTGAGCCCCACCCGCACTGTGGCTCCCAGCCTTGGTCCCCTTACACCTTTCCCCATGCCCCCTTGGAGCCGCAGCCCTGCTTCCAGCCTGGAGGTAAGGAAGGGGGACAGTAAGGAGGGCATGAGGTAAAAAATGTGAGGACAGGCTCATGCGGATGAGTCCAAAATCCTGAGAGACTGGATGTGGGGAGCAGTCAACTC